ACCACAGCGACCATCATAAGCACGCGCACAAACGGAGACTGGCTAATTTATCCGATGGCGACTCATCCGCTCCGACTCATCCGATCCGCGGTTCGGGTGAACCGCGACCAAATAAGTGTGGTACCGGATGAATTCGGTACCGGATGAAATTGGCACAGGATAAATTTGGCACTGGATGAGTTTGGTGCCAGATGAATTTGGCACCAGATGAATTTGGCACCGGATGAGTTTGGCACAGGATGAGTTTGGCACCCGATGAGTCTAGCACTGGATGAATTTGGTAACGGATGAATTTGGCCATGGATGAGTTTGGCACCCGATGAGTCTGGCTTTGGATGAGATTGGCATTTCTCGTTATAGTGTTAGGTCTCGTTGATTGGCGGGGGCGCCAATGGGGTGATGTCAGAGATTCTTCGACTGGCTCGGTCAAAGAGCTGCGCTGTCTAGAACATGATCGACCCACGAACCCGGAAAGGCATGCCGAAATTTAACGCATGGCAGCGTTTTCAAAGACACCTGATGAGGTGACGGGCAAATGCAATGCTGAGTGTATCGATCTTCATGTACCCTGTCGAATGCTGTGCTGTGCTGCGCCGTGCTGAATTGCGATGTGCCATGCCGCGATTGTGCTCCATTGCGTTGTGGGTCGAGTCCTCCTTCGCATCCGAGTTCTGACCGAACTGATCTGAATCTTAAGCTCGAGCTGCCTGAACACATAGTAGCTGCCCAAGAGCTAATTGACAGAGGGACATGTCAGGAAGACGCGCCGCGAAACGTCTCAAGGGACGCGCCGGGCGACGTGCCAGGGGACGTGCCATGGGGTCGCACTGCGGGACGTGCCAAGGGGACGCGCTACGGAACGTGCCAATGGATGCGCCACGGGATGTACCAGAGGACGCGCCGCGCGACGTGCCAGGGGGACTCGCCAACGGACGCCCCACGGAACGTGCCAAAGAACGTGCCAGGTTGCAATGCTGAGTGTATCGATATTGATGTACCGTGCCGAAGGCTGTGCTGTGATGAGCCGTGCTGATCTGCTATGTGACATGCAGAGATTGTGATCTATAACGTCGTGGATAAAATCCTCCTGTTGCATCCGAGCCCTGACCGAACTGATCTGGATCTTAAGCTTGAGCTGCCTGAACACATAGTAGCTGCCCAAGAGCTAATTCACAAGGGGACATGCCAGGAGGACGCGCCGCGAAACGTCCCAAGGGACGCGCCAAGCGACGTGCCAGGGGACGTGCCATGGGGACGCACCGCGGGACGTGCCAAGGGGACACGCTACGGAACGTGCCAATGGACGTGCCACGGGACGTGCCAGGGAACGTGCCAATGGATGTGCCACGGGATGTGCCAGGGGACGCGCCGCGCGACGTGCCAGGGGGACTCGCCGCGGGACGCGCCACGTGACGTGCCAAAGAACGTGCCAAATTGCAATGCTGAGTGTATCGATCTTGATGTACCGTGCCGAAGGCTGTGCTGTGATGAGCCGTGCTGAACTGCGATGTGCTGAACTGCGATTCTGCTCTACAGCGTTGTGGATCGAGTCCTCCATTGCATCCGAGTACTGACCGAACTGATCTGGATCTTACGCTCGAGCTGCCTGGGCACATAGTAGCTGCCCAAGAGCTAATTGACAAAGGATCTGCCAAGAGGACGCGCCGCGGAACGTCCCAAGGGACGCGCCAAGCGAGGTGCGAAGGGACGTGCCACAGGGACGCACCACGGGACGATCGTAGCGTTGACTGTAGGTTCGTCGCCCACCTTCGGTCGGCCGGCTGGCTTGGCACGTCGCTCCATGCCAGCGTCCTTGATGGCCTGCCAGTCCTCTGGCTGCAACTTGATCGCGGGGTGGCCCGCGGCGCTCGTCATGAGCTTCTGGGTGGAGTTCCCGATGCGGACCTGGCCCTTCCAGAGAGAGATGTCGATCTTGGATGGCTGTACGAAGTCGCGGCCGATGAGCAGGCCAAGCGCGGGGCTGTCCACGACGCTGAACACGACGCGGCCGGCCGCAGAGCACGAGCGGCGCGGTGACGGGCAGCTTGCTCGGGAGAGCGCCTCCGTTGCCGAACCTGTAGATATCGCCCTCGTGCTCCTCGAAGATCTGGTCGGCGAGGCCCATCCTGGTGAGGGTGTCCTCATAATTGTCGTACCACTTCCTGCCCGAGACGCAGAAAAGGCAGGCGGTGCCCACCGCGCCGATGCCTTCGTCCGCGGGCTTCCCGCTGCCGATCGCGACGCTCACGTTCGGCAGGTGGTGAATCAGCCGCTCTGAGACGCAGGTCTCAGGAGGCAGGCCCCTGCGGGTGAGGGGCGATTTCCTCGTCCGCGAATTGGACCTGCTCGGTGATGCGCGCCCGGCGCTGCGGGCGACCTCCTCGGCCTCCCCGTTCGCCGCCCTTGGACTCGCCGTCCTTGGGCGCGAACTTGCGAGCGCCCGGCGTGGGGCGCTCCTGGTCTCCCGCCCAATGCCGGGTCTCGCCGCAGCCCCAGCACTGCGACGCCACCTTGCGATGGTCGACCTGGCTCTGGAGCTTGGCCGGGCGGCGAGACGGCGCGGACCTTTTCGACTTGCCGCGGCCCTTCAGGGCCTCCCGCGCTGACCTGGCGGTGGCCATGGCCTCGGGAATGGCGGCAAGCTCCGCCGCGGCGGCCTCGACCTCGGCAGGGTCGTCGCCGTCGAACAGCTCGGAAATGTTCACGTTGGAGGACTCGAGCTCGGCGCTGAAGGCCTCGAGCTCCTGGCGAGCGATGTCCTGCGCGTCGGCCTCGCCCTCGTCGCCCTCCTCTTGCTCTTCGTCGCCCTCGTCGGCGGGCTCGTCGACGACGTTAATGGGGCGCCCTCCACGGCTGGAGGAAGCGCTGCTGCGCCAGCCGCCATGGGGGCGCGACTAGTTGCTCCGCGGCCTCGGCGGCGGCGGGGCGTGGCGCTCGGAATTGTGGATGTCCGGAAACATCCGCGCCAGCAGTCCACGGACGCGCTGGCAGCCGTAGCGTTCGTCGGGCAGGTTGCCCACGACGCGCTCGCGGCACTCGGCCGTGAGACCAGGCTTTCGCAGCAGGAACCATCCCGCCACGTCGTCCAGCGCGTTGAGGTCCACCTCGTTCTCGCGTAGCTGCTGTAGACCGGTCTCGAAGCGGATGAGCCAGTCCGTCATTCGTTCACCTCGCCGTCGGTGATGCTGGGTAGATTCGAAAAACTTCTCGAGCGAGAGTCTCGCCCTTCTGCACGGGCTTCTGCTGACCCAGGCTCGCCTCCAAATGCTGTAAAACATTCTCGATGCCGACCTGATTCCTGTTGCGCTTCTTCTCGTCGGCGTCGTCGACGTCTGCTGCAGCTGCCGGGTGCAGCTGCTTCTCCGTCATAGTCAATGCTGCGCTTCTCGCTGTCCCGCTGAGCCTGAGCACGAGCTTCGACGCGAGACTGTGCGGAATTGAAAGGTTCTCGCTGAGCTTCCACAATTGCACCTCTTGTTTGTAGTCTCTCCACTTCGAGGGATCTCCGTTCCATGTAGGTATATTGGCTGTACGAAATTGTGAGCATTGTCCGTCATCTTTGCGAAAGGGTAGACGTAGACACCGGAGTAAAGGAAATCGAACTCTGTGGTTTGGCTGAAGTCCTGGGAGCGAAGGAGACCGAACTCGGCGGCGTCGCTGAAGTTCAGAAGGTACGGGGAATCGAACTTGGCGGATTCGCTGAAGTTCTGGGTGTAGGCGCAGGCGTAGGTGCTGGCGTCGATGACGCTGGCGTAGGAGTTGGCGTCGAAGGCGCAGTAGGCGTGAGTGCTGGCGTCGCTGACGCTGGCGTAGGAGTTGGCAGGGTAATCGTAGTAGGCGTTGGTGCTGGCGTCGCTGACGCTAGCGTAGGCGCTGAGCAACAGCGCGAGGAAGCCGCTGGGCGTCGATTCCAATATGTATAGACGTGTCGCGGACGCCGTCGTTGCAATGTGTACGGCCCCGCGGGCCGGGATAGCGAGCCTCGTTCCACGCTACCACTGCGATGTGGAAGATTATCGCTGATAATGTTTTTCTCTCGCTCTGCGCGGCAGAGGACGTAGCTCAATTAGCCAAGGGCCCTGGAAAATGATTAGAGCCAGATGGGCAGCGGCAGAGAGATCCTGGACAGCTGAGCAGCAGCGGCAGAGGGTGAGTGAGAAGAGCAGCGGGTCTTCTGGAATCACACGAACTGGCAGGGACCCCCCCTGGTTTCCGGGGGGGGGGTCGAACCGGTACTGACCCCCCCCCCGGTTTTCGAGGGGGGGGGGTGCGAACCGGTAAGGAACCCCCCTCTTTTCATGATGGACTGGGGGGGGGGGTTCGAACCCGTAGTGACCCCCCCCCGCTTTTCGAGGGGGGGGGACGGGTTGGGAACCCCCAGTGACCCCCCCGGATTTCGGCTAGCAGCGGTAGAACACGCTCTTTCGATAATAATAAGAATAAGAATAATAAATAACAGTAATAATCATAATAATAACAATAATAATAACACTACTAAAACATGGTAGGAACAATGCATAAAATCATACACATTCGAATTAGAATGCGAATGATGAAAATACGACAAATAATACTACTAAAAAGCAGCAGTAATAATAATGTTACTATTGCGAACAAATGTTAAAACAAATAAGCAACAACAACGACAGCAACATAAGTTTGTGGCGTTCCGCGCGGGTTTCTTGGATTTGCGCTGGCACGCCAGGGGCGGCGCCAGTGGCGCCGCCAGGGGTGCCCAGCGCGGATGCAAGAAATCCGCGCGGAGCGCCAAACATTATTTATATGGCGTCTTTCTTCTTCGATTTTCATCCAGAGCCGTTTTTGGAGCCCCTGGGGCCCGGCAACCTCCGTCTCGACTTCTTCACTGCGTTGGCTTTCTGGGCCCCGACGACCTCCGAAGCCGCCCGACGCCATCCGAAAGCCCCCGAAGGCCTCCGTAGCCCTCCGACGTCCGGAAGCCTCGGGCAACCTTTACGGCGCGGGCGGCGCGGCGGCCCCGCCTGGCCGTGCCCGCCGGGGCCGGCGGCTGCGCTGCGGCTGGCTGTTCCCGCCGCGGCTTGCCGCCGAAGATGCGCTCCCAGCCCTCGGAGTACTTCCTGCGCGCGCGCCGCGCGCGAAGGGCGCGGGGGGCAGCAGCATAACAGGGGATATGTCGACCCCTATCCCAGGCTTCGTGGGGTTTTCGAATGGACCAACAAAAATGTGGGCCCAACCCTGGGATATACGAGGGGGGGCGTCCATCCTTGATAGGGGTGCGTCCGAATGGCCCCTCTGGGGGTGTATCCCAAGGTTTCCCTCTTGTCTGAGCCGCTCCATTTTTGGGCGCCCGAGTTATCCGGGGTAACTCGGGTCCGGGGTAACGCGGGTTTGGATTCCCGAAAAACGAACCCGAGTTAGCCCTGACCCGAGTTCCCCCTGATGATTTGGGGCTCTGGACGCCCGAGTTATCCGGGGTAATTCGGGCCCGGGGTAACTCGGGTTCGGAATCCCGAAAAGCGAACCCGAGTTAGCCCTGACCCGAGTTACCCCTGATGATTCGGGGCTCTGGACGCCCGAGTTATCCGGGGTAACTCGGGCCCGGGGTAACTCGGGTTCGGAATCCCGAAAAGCGAACCCGAGTTAGCCCTGACCCGAGTTACCCCTGATGATTCGGGGCTCTGGACGCCCGAGTTATCCGGGGTAACTCGGGCCCGGGGTAACTCGGGTTCGGAATCCCGAAAAGCGAACCCGAGTTAGCCCTGACCCGAGTTACCCCTGATGATTCGGGGCTCTGAGGGTTTCCCTCTTTTCTGAGCCGCTCCATTTCTTGCCGAACAGCCGGGGGGCGGGATAGAAACATCGCCTGCGACAGCAGGGGCCCGGCATACCGCCCTCCGCCCACCCCTGCGGGCGAGCGCCGCCAGCCCAGCCCGCCGGCCCACGGACCGGAGGGACGACGAGAGGGGGGGAAACAGCTCCCCAGACCCCCGACGTCATGATTTTGTTATGACGTCGACCCCCAGAGGTCTGGACCCATTCCCCAGGACCGGTTTTTCGTCCTGGGTTGTTTTTTTGACGGTCCCGAGGGCCGGTAAGGGCCCCCAGGGTCCAAAAAAAATGAAAAACATCCCGTCGTGATTCTTTCATGACTCGAGGGGGTCTGGGTCGGGGGGGGAGCACCGAGCTCGGATCGGCGATGCACCGCCGATCTCAATCGACCTCAGCGACACGCCGTGGAGGTCCTGCGTGCGCGCGCGCGCCCAGGACCTCCAACGTCTCGAGAGGCTCAGTGCGGAAGCCCCTCGCAGTCTTCGGCCTCCTCTGGGGGGCGCCGGGCCCCCCTGGGCCGTCACGAAGCGGCTGCGGACGAAGAGCGGCCCTGAGGTCCGGAGCTCCGGCGCGCCCGCGCGCGAGAGCGCGCGGGCAGGGACGCGCGGGCTCTCCCCATCCTCCAGAGGCCTCCCGTTTGTGGCGGTCCAGCCTGTGCTGCGGAGGCCGCGCGGCTCTGGGGGCCCACTTGCGCGCCCAGAGCGTCCTGCAAAGCCGCCGCCAGCTCCCGGCCACTGGCTCGGGTCGGCGACGGACCCTGAGGTCCGCAGTCGCGAAAAGATTGCCAAAGCGTGAAACATCACGGCCCGAGCTCGGAGCCCCATCTGCCTGCAGCAGTTTGAGAGCCGGATCGAGCTGTGGGGGTCCTGGGGCCCGAAAAAAGGGGCGAAGCCGCCTGGCTCGAAAAACTTTAACTGCCAGTATCTCACATAGGTGGCGACATCCGAACCCTACCCCCGCCGACCACCGACTCTCCGGCATCGATGGGAGGCGGGGGTAGGGCTTGACTCTCGTCACGCGTTCTCCGCCGCCCATCGATCGGGGGTGGCCAAGAGGGGGGCGTCCTAGAGGGGGGGGTGCAAATCATGGCCGGCGGCATGTGCGCGGCCAAAGAGGGGGCCAGGGACGTAATGAAATAGGAAGAGGTGCCATGAAATCTTTGGAAATATCGTGGCCCACGCCATGATATCCACCCCCCTTAGTCATCCCCCCCTATTTGCCGCCCCCGAATCGAGTGACCTGAATCGTTGATCGGCGAGGGTGGGGTTCGTATGTCGCCGCTGATTCAGGGGAGCGCCTGGGCGCGCGCGCAGCCTGATAATTAGAGCCACGAAGCCGGACCCGGGAGCGCAGGTGGGCAGAACTCAAGGGGCCCAAGGACACAAATAAATACACACACAAATAACAGGACCCCCCATATTTTCCAATATTTTCAGGGTTTGTCTTCCCCCCCACTTCCCATATTTTCCAATATTTTCTGGCGAGGGGACGATTAATTGTGCCTGTGCTTTTTTCCCTCCTGAACAACTTGTGATGAAAAATCGCGCATGGATTAAAGCATTCTGGACGGTTTACTGTGTGCTCGGATTCCGGGACGTCTGCAAGCGTGCACCTCGGAGCGCACGGGGCGCATCTGACCCGAGAATGTCTCTGGCTTTTGCTGGAGCCGGAAGCCGGACACGAACAAACGGTATTGCACAACGCTACTGCTCAGAGAGCTTTCCGCAAAACCAGGGGCCAGCATGTTCCATACTTCCTGGAAAAGGACGGCGGGGCCAGCATGTTCAATACTTCTTCGTCAGTGGGTAGGATAGAAGGAAGAGGAGGAGGAGGACGAGGAGGAGGAGGAGGAGGAGGAGGAGGAGGAGGGGAAGGGGGAGGAGGAGGAGGAGGGGGAGGGGCCAGCATGTTCAATACTTCGGGGGATTCAGGATCGGCGGCGAGACCGGGGGGGGAAGTTAAAAGGGCCGGGCCTGCTCAGAACGCTCGAGAGTCCCCCTGGCCTTCTGAGAAGTCTCCCCGAAGACGCAGACAACTCCTCAGAAGGCGCGAGGTCTTCTGGGAAGCCCCGCCGACTTCTGAGACGGCCGTCTCCTTCTCACTCCCCCCCTGGGCGCGCCGCCGAATTTGGTTTGGGGCTCATAACTCAAGTCTCAGGCGGCCGTTCGGGACGATCCGGGCACACCCGGAACGCTCTCGATGAGGCGCAGCTGCTGGCAAGCATCCCGAGGCTGGAAAGCCGACGAGAACCGACAAAATCGCCCGAAAGCCTCGGCCCTCGAACCCGAAACTTCCCAAACCTGTCAGGTCCCAGCCCTGTGGTCCATGCGGGAGTGACCAGAGCACTTTCCCCCCTCTCGCTCGCCGCCGATCATCGGCCACTGGGCCGCGAAGCACGAACTGGATCGAAAAAGGGGAAGCACCGCGCCGGGCCAGCACCACTGCAGCCTGGACGAAGCGTGGGTTCTTTATGGGGGGCGCGAAATGTGTGAGGGTCTCCCTCTGTGGGCCACGAGGCGGTGCCTGCTTTGCAGTACGCCTTGCAGGGCTCCGCAGCTCCGCAGGACGCACCACCCAGGTGGAGTTCCCTGTGGGGCCGCGAAACGCTGTCCTGGGTGGGAGAGGCGCATGCGAACACCGCCGCTGGGGCCTCAAGTGGAGCTCCCTGTGGGGCCACGAAAAGCTGTCCTGTGTTGGGGAAACGCATGCGAACACCGCCACCGAGGCCTTAAGTGGAGCTCCCTGTGGGGCCACGAACCGCTGTCCTGGGTGGGGGGGGGGCGCGTGTAAACGCCGCCATTCGGGCCTTACGTGGAGCTGCATGTGGGGCCACGAAACGCTGTCCTGGGTGCGGGAGACGCATGCGAACACTGCCACTGGGCGGGGGAGACGCATGCGAACACCGCCACTGGGGCCCTCACAAAACGTTGTCCTGGGTGGGGGAAACGCATGCGAACACCGCCACAGGGGCATTAGGTGGAGCTCGATGTGGGGCCGCGAAACATTGTCCTGAATGGGGAGACGCATGCGAACACCGCCATTGGGACCTTAGGTGGAGCTCCCTGTGGGGCCACGAAACGCTGTCGTGGGTGGAGGAGACGCATGCGAACACCGCCACTGGGGCCGTAGGTGGAGCTCCCCGTGGGGCCACGAACCGCTGTCCTGGGTGGGGGAAGCGCGTGCGAACAACGCCGCTGGGGCCGTAGGTGGAGCTCCCTGTGGGATCACAAAACTTCGTCCTGGCTGGGGGAGACGCGTGCGAACACCGCCACAAGAGGGCCTAGGTGGAGCTCGATGTGGGGCCGCGAAACGCTGTAGTGGATGGGGGAGACGCATGCGAACACCGCCACTGAGACCTTAGGTGGAGCTCCCTGTGGGGCCACGAAACATTGTCCTAAGTGGGGGAGACGCATACGAACACCGCCACTGGGGCCGTACTTGGGCCCCCCATGGGGCCACGAAGCGCCGCACTTGGTGGAGGAGACGCTTTCGAACCCTATGGGGCCAGCGAAATGCTGTGCTGAGCGGGGGAGACGTATGCGAACTCTGCCACTACCGCCCTAGGTGGGGCTCCCTATGGGGCCGCGAAACCCTGTGCTGGGTGGGGAGACGCATGCGAACACCGCCATTGAGGCCTTTGATGGGGCTCCTTGTGGGGCCACGGAACGTGTAAGGGGTGTGGCAAAATTGGTGGCGATGATGGTGACGATAACGATAGTGATTATGACGTTGATGTTGATGTTGATGTTGATGCTGATGATGATGATGATGATGGTGATGATGATGTTGATGATGATGATGATGATGGTGATGACGATGACATGGCGATGACGATGATGATGATGCTGATGAAGATGATGACGACGACGACGAGGACATGCGCAGGGCAGAGGCAGGGATGGGAGGAGGAAGGAGGGGGAGGAGGACGGAAAAAAGGAAGCAAGGAAGGAAGGAACGCGGGGACCGTCTCTTCAAAACGAGGACCCAACACCACAGGATGGTTGGGAACAAAAAAACAAAATATCCACACAACACTAGACAAATCGTCCCCTATATTATTGCTTGACTATTTCTGAATTCTCCTCCCGTAGAGGGACAGGCCCGACTGAAGGCAAGGGTCGCGGCCCCAGGGGGCCCGCGGGTGGGAAAAGACACATCGCTCGACTTGGGGATCGACTGAATAACTGATTCGCCCCAAAGCTCACTCCAAACGCCGAATCTGCCACAACAGTGCGCACCGCGTGCGCAGACGTATAAGGAAGTGCTCCGCAGCTTCCAGGGGCCCGGCGAGAAAACAAAAAACAAATCTAAGTCACAGTGCGGGCGCGGCCGCAAGAAACCCTCGCAAGAAACCCGGCCTTGAAAACCCCGCGCGCGAGGTGCACCCGAGGGAAAACCCGAACTTCTTGAACGGAGCCGCTTCTCTGACGGCCGCGGGAAGCCACCGCGCAGCGCGCGGATGGAAGAAATCCAAGGTAGCCCCAAACCGCGACATCCGGCGTCATTTTTTTTCATCACGGCGTCCCCGGAAGTCCCGACCCTCTCCCTGGGACCGGCAAGTGATCCTGAATCATTGTTTGACGGTCTCGGGGCCCGGCGAAGGCCTCGAGAGGCCGAGAACGACGAAAACCCTTCGTCCTGATTTCTTTACCCTGGCGAGAAGCACATGGTTTCTTGAGGCGCGTCCCCACTGGAACTGAACCCTGCAGTGGGGTCTACAGGCGGACTGTGGACGACATGTTCGAAAATAGCAAAAAGAACAAGAATAGTCAACAAGTCGTCCCCGCATTGCTTTGTGACTGTTTTCGAATACGACCGGGGCCCTGCAGAAGGAACCCTTTTCGTTGGGGAGGGGCTCGGTGTTCCTTAATTGTTCTACAGTTTGCCCTCTGTTTTCCTGAAGTTCTCCATGGGAGATCGAAGTTCAGCTTATGGGAGAAAGGGGCCCCGTTCTTTATTTAGGGTTCCTTAGGTCAACGCCCCGACTGTACGGCAAGTCCCGCCACCGTGCCTGGGTCGAAGGGTTCTAAACCTCGTGGATCCTCGCTGGAATCTCGTGGGAGGTCTCTCGGGGGCCTCTTGGCAGCTGTTCTGAGGCCTCTCGGGGGCTGTTTTGGGGCCTCTTGTGGACCTCTTGGGGGGGGCCTCTTGGGGGCGTCTCGGGGCCTCTGGGACGCCTCTTGGGGCCTCCTGGGGGCACCTTGGGGCGCACTGTTTTGCTACGATTTTCGATTACTCCTCCTCTAGAGGGACACGCCCGACTTCGCACCGCCACTGCATTTTGCAGCTGGCTCCCCGGCTCGAGCCGTCGGGCGGAGGAGGAGGAGGAGCGAGGAGGAGGAGGAGGAGGAGGAGGAGGACCAAGACCAAGACCAAGAACGCAGGGGACTCGTCCAAGAAGTCAGACCAGAGCAAAACTGGAGCGCCTCGAAAACGGCAATTTAGAAGTCCCTACGAGAGGCGAACCTCGAGAATCCAAACTATGAGCATCGAGGGCCCCCGGTGGGGGGAGTCACCCCCTCTGGCCCCGAAGGTAAACTCCCATATGCGCGGATGTCCACGCGGGGGCGCCTGCGGGCACCGGCAACCTATCCCTTGCACCTCGAGCTTCTGACCTCCCGAGCCTTAGGAGGAGGTCGTGAGCCCCCCTTCTTCGAGGAAACCGCTCTTCCCTCTCTCCTGTCAGCATCGGCGGCGGCCACGCGATCCGACTCCTCCCCCTCCACGACCGACGACCTCACGACGAACCCGTCCCTCCCCGCGACACGGATGTCCTGCAGCGCGCCCCTCTTCGCCAACTGGTGGTAGCGTTCGCTTGTCGCGAATGCCGAGGGCGCAGAAAGCCCAGGAGGAGGCGGAGGCAAAGGAGGGAAAGACCTGGCCCCAGGAACAGAACGCGGAGGGGGAGGACAGAGCAGGCCTCAAGACAGCCTCTAGAAGTCCAGAACGAGATTCAGATCTGACCGAGCTCGTCCACACTTCAAACTGCCTCTGGGCCTCAGGGTTCGGGGGGGGCGAGCGGCAATCAGACTGGATATTACACTCAGTGAACGATTCACGTGGACCCCTTCCCACAACATTCGCAGGTTCAGCATGCGCATCAGGTAAGGTGGCAAACCCTTGAGATTGACAACGTGAGCTCTCCCCAACAGAGGGTGGGACCTCCAAAGATCCCACAGGCTCTGCATTCACATCAGGTGAGTCTGCGCACCCCCACGATTGACTTCCACGCCCAAGCGAAGGTCGGTGTGTGGGCGGATCCTCAGCTGACATCAGAAATTGTCGAGCTCTGCTGCAATCATCAGGTTCCGACAAATTGGGTCTCTTCTCAGCTCGCTGCCGTCGTTGAAGAATCACTTTTTCTTCTGTGGCAGCTCTGCGATCTGTCTGCCCCTCCAGCGGCCCCCTCGGCGCCGATCCCGCAAGACGAACCGCCCCCGCCTCCTCCAACACTCTGTCGAAAATCTGGCGGAGGGCTATGCCCACGGCGGTCGGATGGATCACGATCTGGAACTTTACTCCCCCCTGCATTCGCTTGCTGTGATCTCCCCGAGGCTGCTTAACACTGAAGTGGGTGATATAGGTGGCAATATAGTCGGGCTGTTTTTTGTCGACATGTGCGTTCCAAAAATTCGCGGCGACATCGACGGCTGCGCCCTGAGCCTGTTTCTTCACGGCGTTCACTGTCATCCAGAAGACCGTCGCGAACGGGGGGCCGAGGGGCGACAGGTCCGTCTCTGGGTTGGCCTTCTTGATTTCTTTCAGGCCGGCCGCCGCTTCCGTGTAATATTTGTCGGCGGCAAGTCCGGCCTTGGCCAAGAAGTGGGTCGCGTCGAGCAGGCGTGTCTCCATCGCATTGGACTCGACGAGGCCGAGACCGCGAGCTGTCACGAGGGCGAGCCGCGCGGTGAGGTCGACGAGCTCCTGCTCCTTCATGCCTCGGCCGCCGCCTCGACCTCCCTGGGGCTCCTCGCCTCGCTCTCGCTGGGGCCGATCCTCGGCGTCGTCTCCTTCCCGCGGGCGTCGGGCGCCGCAGATGGCCTTCGCCCACTCGGGCCGCTCCGCGTCGAACATCTCCAGGCCCATCTCCTCGAGCGGCATGGCGGACACACTGCGCGCGTGGAGCGAGGGGGAGATGGCCTCGCGCGTGCTCGTTGCAGGCCTTCGAGGTAGGACTGCTCGAGCCGCAAACGCCACATACGACGTTCGTCAACTGGCCGAGCGGGCGAAGAGTAGACGCCTTATCCGCCAAACAACGCCCGTGCAACAGCGATCCATGGAGATGCTTTTGCGCGGCCTTCCTGCCCCGCGCGACCTCCTCACAGGCAGTGCGCTGATTAGTGGCCGCGAGCGCCTGCGAGAGCTTTGAAGCCCTATGAGCGAGCCTCAAGCGGTTCACCAATCCTTTACGGTTCGAGAAGGCAGCCCCACAGGGGCCGTCCGTACCATTCCAAGTGCAGATGAAGTCCAGGGAGACCTCCAATGCACCTCGCTCCAGCACCCCAGGGTCGAGAAGCTGGGGGCCGGGAGGGGGCACCTCGACATCAAAATGCCGACTCCGAAGGAGCGCAACATCCACCCTCGCGAAGTCCTGGGCGACCTCGAACTCGAACAGACCCATGATGGACCCCCCCCGCTCTCGCCCAGCAGGACGCGGCATCCTCGGACCACTGGGCCAGCACCTCAAGATCGTTCTGGAACTGGAAGGCCCAAGGGTTGGCCCCAGGACGGACAGAACCGTTCCCCGTGAAAACTCCGCGCCCCTCATAAGGGACCGCGCCGAAAACCGAGGCCAGAAGTTGTTTATGTTGAGCAGGTCTTCTCACGCACGCCTGCAGCCACCGAAGACGCCTAACTCGCAGTTCGCACTTGATGGGCGTCAGCCTCCACCACCTATACACCCCCTCCGTGGTCATGCACCTCGTCCCCCCTCCTCCTGCCAGTTCCCCCCCCCCCCCCCCCCCCCCCCCCCATCGGTCTTCTAGCAAGCCCTCCCACCGCCAACCCCAGAGAGCGAATCTGCGTGGGCGTCGGGGCGAAGGCCTCAACTCCAGAGAGAGCGGTGTTCAGCAAGGGGCAGAGCAGGACGCAACGTTTCCACCTATAGGGCGCCCCCAGCCTGGAACCAGAAATTGCCTAAGCGATAGAACGCAACCTTCATTGCCATCACCCGCTTGACCAGCTCCGTGCTGAAGGACTGGGTCGGGTTCAAGTAGGGCCCCAAGTACCTAACCTCGTCGGGAACTTTGGTCCCCAGAGCCCTGAGGGTAGCAGCAGCATGCCTACGAGAACTCGGGGGAACTTTCAGAAGGGCCTCCTGTTTGGTCTTGTTCCTCTTGAGCCCAATGGAGTCCAGCTCCCTGTCCAAGAGCTCATCGCGCGCCTGCAGGAGGTCTCTGAAGTGGACAAGGTTGAAGGGGGGGGGGGGGCGCGCGATCTTTTTCAGAAAGTCATCCGCAAACTTCTGAAGCCCCAAGTACACGCGCTGGGAGCCAGGCGTGATGTCCTCGGGGAGGGTGGCCCACAGCTGCTCCTCGCCGACGGGGTCCTCCTGCTGACAACTCAAGATCCATTTGTCGATCGGAGGGCGAAATACGCGAACGAATGATCTTACACCATACGGATCACCCTGCAAAGACCCACATCCAGGACGAATAAAGAGTGGGCCGTCAGCAGTGGGCAAGAAGCAACCTGCCCGCCGGTATCTCTGCTTACATATCTGGAGATCTCGAGGTTGAACCAACGTTAGATTAGCTCCATCTAGTTTCTCCCACTTAGAGGAGGCAAATGCATTCGTCAGATCCTTTACAGAGTCACACCAGTAAAAACCAGCACCTGGTAAACGCCAAGAAACACACATGTGAGATAGCATAGCATCCTCTCGCCGTCGGTGACGCAAGAAGCCATGATCACAATCAGAATTTGAATAGGCTGGCCCGAGCTTCATCACGCCCCCGAAGTAACCCGTACTCACAGGGTCAAGGCCGTGCACTATTCTCTTGCCCTTAAGGCCTGGTGCCGCTGCTTTGGGTAGAGCAAAACACTTACTACAGTTCCACAAGGTAGGCGTAATGCCCCAATATCTGATCATCGTCATACCCTTGCGCAGCCATTTCTGAAAATACGTGCCCTCTGTTACAGTCGAATCAGATCCAAGTCCACGCCGTGGTTCTGCTTCACCTCTAGACTGTGGAGTGCGCAGTGCCATAGCCCATGGTTCCAATGGTAAAGCCCACGGTGGAACACTTCTACGTTTTGCAGCTCGCCGAAAGTATCTTTCCAAAAGTTCAACATCAATCCTTCCATGCTCCCAAGATCGTCCTATTCTCTCATCATATTGTTCACGCGTGGCTGGGGGTTTCTTCCACAACTCTTTAAACTCTTTAATGGCTTGCATCTGGTGCCAGTCCAAACGACTCGCAGACAAACCACTCTCACCACCCGGCCTCGAAAGAAGGGTCATCCACTCTTCAGATGTCGGAAGCATACCGTCCAATCGAGTAAAATCACGACGCCCCTTCCAAAATCTGTTCCCTGCCAGACGGAGTGATAATCCGCTGGCTGTTGCAAGGTCTCTTGTTTTTTCCCAGCTGTCCAGATCCCCTCTACAAGTTGTTCATTACGTCGTCGTCGTTCAGCCCGGAATAGAGCCTTCGTCGTACGCGGAGGAGGAGGAGGAGGAGGAGGAGGAGGAGGAGGAGGAGGAGGGGAGGAGGAGGAGGAGCGAGGAGGAGGAAGGAGGAGGAGGAGGAGGAGGAGGAAGAGCGAGGCTGAATTCTGCAGCTGGCTCCCCGACCCGAGCCGTCGGGCGTCCCGGCGTGCGCCTCGTGTCGCGGCGCCCCCCCCCCCGCGGCCGACACCTGGAGAGGAGGGGGTGGGCTTCCGGGTGCCGGCCGCGGCGGCGCGCGACGCGGAGGGAGGAGGAGGGAGGAGAGGAGGAGGGGAGGAGGAGGAGGAAGGAGGAGGAGGAGAGGAGGAGGAAAAAAGGAAGAAGAAAAGGAGGAGGAGGAGGAGGAGGAGGAGGAGGAGGAGAAGGAGGAGGAGGAGGAGGAGGGGGGGCAGCTGCACATGGCCGCGGCGGCTTCGAGCAGGGGGCCGGCTGCACAGGGCTGGACCTAAACGTTGTGTCTCCTTTTGGTTTCGTTTTGCTCGGCCTGTGTTCCCTGCGCCGCCCCCCCCAGACGAGCAAACCAAACACAGCCGAAGTCAAGCAAAACAGCGCTCAGGTCCACCCCTGCGGCGGCAGAGTTCGTTTCCCCCAGAATTGGTTCTTCTCGGCGAGCCCATGGCACTCGCGAAGAACTTGCGCAGGTCTATAGAAAACGTTGTGCGCACTCTGTTGTCGATTCGGCGTGGGAGTGAAGTCTGGGGCAGCTCAACTCTGTAATCGATCCCCTGCTCGAGGATCGCCTTCGCGCCCCCAGGGGAAGAACAAAAGCGCTGGCCTGCGCCTGCGCTCGCGGGGAGGAGGCGTGGGCCAGCGCGAGAAAGCGGCACTGTTGCATCCGAGGCCGCGGGGCGTGCCTCCTGCGGGCCGGGCGAGCCCCGTGTGGGGGGGGGGGGGCACTTTGGGAGGTGCTGGCCCCCGAGGCTCTCGAGCAAACTTTGTCCGTCGGCGGCGAGGCAGGGGCAATCTGCAGCAGCGTGGGGCGAAGCGGGGCCACCGATAGGTTAATTGTCCGGCGTGCAAGAGAGAGGGGGAGAGGGGGGAAGACGAGGACGGCCGCGCGAAGGGTGGAGGGGGAGGGCGCTCAGACGTGGAAGAGTTCCGCGGTGAGCGGGCTAGAGTTCTCAAGCAAACAAGTGCGAACGAAAAGCAGGACTGCGATCGAAGGGCGCGCGTGCGCGGAACGAGCCAGGGAGGAGGGGGCTGCGAGCGGGGGGTGGAGGGAGGAGCGAGGAAGGCACGAGGAGGAGAAGGTAGGTGGATGAGGAGGAACGGCAGATGCAGGAGGAGGGAGGTGTGCAGATCAGCAGGAGGAGACCGCTGGAGGTACACACATACATGTACACATATACGTATATGTATATGTATACATGAATGTATATAAGAGAGAGAGAGAGAGAGAGAGAGAGAGGGAGAGAGAGAGAGAGACAGAGCAACAGAGAGGGAGAGAGAGAGAGAGAGAGAGCGAAAGAGCCTCCACAGACACCCAAATGTCCAACAGAGCCCAACAACTTCAACAACAACAACAACAACAACAACAACAACAACAACAACAACAACAACAACAACACCATAACAACTAACACGTGTTTTTATTGCGAAAACCACCACGGAGCTGCTGCAAACATGTCCAAGGTCGGTATTGTGTCATACAACGTGTGTAACTCATGTATGTCTCTTTAGACACATTCTGTATGAATGTTATTATGATTGTTCGTGCGGGAAACAAGCTCGTTGTGCATGGAAGGTGTTCGTTTCGATCCGATAAGTACATCAGTGTGTCCACCAGACGTGGTAGTAATGCAGGCGAGCGTCGTGAGCGCTCGTCATGTATGGTATGGGCATGTTTTTTGTATGTGGGTCATACATACCCACAAGGATGGTGCGCCCGCAAGAACGATTCGTGTGTCATGTTGAACGATACGTATACGTGCCGTATGTGCTGCTGTGTGGCAGCCGTGACCTGTACGCAGGTGGCGAATGGTTGCTTCTGTCTGCCCACTAGTTCGCAGTATATGTGGGCGACGTGTGTATGCGTGCATCGATTCATATGTACACGCGTGGCTTCGGCGTCGTGTATGTGCGAAGGTTGGCTACATGGTGTGGTGATGGCCAAATAGCTGCGTGCATGGCAAGTATGCAGGGGCATCATGTAGGGTAATGCGTGGTGCGTGTGTGTGACAAAGTGTGCCATGCACGTAGGCACTTCGGCACGTTATTTGGGCATGCATTGCCTGTTGTCTGCGCTGCACGTGCTGCGTTACTCCAGTATGCGATGTGCGCACGGCCTTGGCGGGCGCTTTGTCGGTTTTCCCGACCTGATAGGCATTGCGTGCCTTATGGATGCTCGCTTTGACAGCCCTTGTGGCTGATCTGCACACAATGACGACTGTATGCATATGCGCGCATACATTGAGGCCAGGTGGCTACGGGC